GGGATGTGGGCAGCTCGTGCTCAACCACAGTCAACGTGGTGAGCCTCGTACATGAGAGGCACAGTAAAAGAGGAGCTGCAAAAACAAATGAAAGGGGCACCCAAAAGAAAGCAAAGTGGACACAATTAAGAAAGGGATTTAACCGCTTCTATCATACTCCACGTTGCTTGCTATAGAGGTGAAACTGTTTGATTGTTGGATTGTCTCAACTCAAGGGCCTCGTTGTCTGCAATAGGATTAAAGCTGCTTCAATTTTGGATCTACTCATCTGGGTGGAATAGGGGCTGTTGTGGTGAACATTCAAAACACACACACACACACACACACACACACACACACACACACACACACGCACACACACACACAGAGTCAAGTGACAGCTCTGCTTGTTGGGTGGGTTTACTTGGATCCATTTCCATGCTTCTAGCTGAGTGGTTAACCTTTCCAGCAAGCATTTTCATACAGCTTCATTCCTTTTTTCTTTTTTTGAAAATCCGACAGGGCCCACTGGAGAGAGTGGTATGAGCAGCTCCTATCGGGCCCTGAATCATTCATCAACAAAGTTACAAAGAACAGGAAAAACAAAGACAAGAGAACAATACATTAAGACTGTCTTCACCTTTGCAGCGTCGACTCGATGATTTCCTGATCAATGGACAACTGCTTGGACCTGTTTGCTGCAGTGCTTGCCTTCGGTATTCGATCCTGGTTTCCCTTGGCATTTGTGCCTTCAGCAATACCACCTGCCACCACTCTTACCGATGATATCACCTTGATCATAGGAGAGGACACTTGCGGGAAGTCGTCATAGACAAGCCCCAACAAACAGTCCTGCCGACAAAGCAGATCAACACACGGACACCAAATGCAGCAGAAGGATTGATGAGCAACCTCAACGGTCGGGATCTAAAGGTGTCGTCATGATCGTCTCCCTCCCCGTCGTGTAATCCCCTGGGAAGTCTTCTGAACGACGCCTACATGTGGGCTTCTGGAATGAAGTCACATTTACTTTCCGAATGTGGCTCAACGGAATAGTAGGAAATAAAGCACAGACAAAACAGAGCAAAGGGAATACAAAAAGAAAATTTTGTTGGTTGTCGTAAGCTGACAACTTGACGCACATAGCACGATAGCCTGGTTTCAATCAGAACACAGCCTGTTGACTGACCTGACGCTCATGAACACGTCAGGTATGTGCATAGTGGATCCCTGAGCAGATGTCAAGGTGAAATGATCGTAAAAAAGCCAATGGAGGAGAGAGAAGCATAAAGCTTAAACCTCCTGCTTCTTCTTCTTCTACCTCCTCCTCCTCCTCTCCTTCCCATTGTGTCATCCCTCTTGTCAGTGTCCTGTCTTATCTCCTCCACCATGGGTCTTTTTCTTTCTTCATTCGACCCTTCACCTTGTGTTAATGAAAAGAAAGAATGTCGGTGTATCTTGTGTGAACCAGTGTGATGTTTTAATAACAACAACAAGCGAAGACTCTTAGAAGTTCTTCAAATCTCTTCAATGTTCTTGCGCTTTCTTCCCTGTTTAAACATTGTTTAAAACTATTCAGTTGCTTTTCTTTCCCTTGCAAAGTAGACAAGAGTAGAACTATTTGGGGGAAAGCTTTTGGTATTGGTAGACAAGAGTAAAACTCTCAGCAGGACAAGCTTTTGGTACCTCATATCATTCTTTTTTTGAACAAAATTTCTTGCTTTAGCCTTTTCATATTTTCTCTTTTGAAACCCATACCTTCCCTCTTTTCAAAGACCTTGTACGAGGGAAGGTACAAAGGCTTGGTAACTCCATACGCAGGCTCAGGTAGGTACACAGGTTCGGTAACTCCATACTCAGGCCCGGTAACCCCATAAACACACTTGGTAAGTACAAAGGTTCGGTAACTCCATACTCAGGCTAGGTAACCCCATAAACACACTTGGTAACTCCATAGTACATACGCTCAGGTACTCCATAGTACTTAGCCTCGATACGTCCATATACAGGCTTGGTAACTCCATAGCACATAGGCTCAGGTATTCCATAGTACATAGGGTCGGTAACTCCATACAAAGACTCGGTAACCCCATACACAGGCTCGATAACTCCACAAACAGCCTCTTGCTAACTCTGTGCACAGGGGCTTGGTACTACCATAACTGACTTGGTAGGTGGAGAGGTAGTGATCAACATATACAAGTCTTACGAGATGTAGAAACTTACAAAGTGAAATAGCAAAATTACTATAAACACAAGCAACACAGGAGCAAGCAACAGAAGCATCCCCATCACTATCCTCTCATCCAATCACAAAAGCGCTCCAAGAACTTGGAAAAAGTACATACCAGCAGAATTGGAACTGTATCCTTCAATGTGAGGCGACATTCCGTTAGAAGTCGGCAGGATGTGTCGCCAAGAGCAAGCCGCACTTTAGGGCTGGGGTGTAGTGAAACCTGCAGGACTCGCCAACATATCATCAGTGTAACAAACAGCACAGAACAGCACAAAACACAGCGATTGTCAGATATCAATAGCAGGCGGGCACCCCCTCTTTCCAGACTGTGCAATGCCTGCCGTGTCCAGAAATGCTGCTGTTCAAACTGCCAGCACATTTGTTGTATGACAGGCAGATTGAAGTACATAGATAGGTAGTCAAATCCCTCACCGACTTCAGCAGGTCAAAAATGCGGCCCTTCGAAAAACATGAATGACAAATATAACCACTGGAATCGTCTTAACTTTCAAATCACTATGAGCAGAAGAAAAGACTGTGGAAATGGCTTCCATTGACAAAGATTTCCCCTTGATTGCCCCTTTTGCTACATAAGTTGAAAGATCTTAAAACAATTCCTTAAAACAATCACACTTGACATCAGTGCGCAGTGAACGCCCTGCAGCTGCCTGTCAGTTGTGTGATGTATGCAACTGTTGCAAGAACGTGAGTTCAAAACCTCGTCGGTACTTGGAACCCCTTTCTGTGAAAATAATGGAGGGGGAACCCCCTTTCCGTGAAGATGATGGAGGGGGGGAAGCAGGGAACATCCAATGGCAGTCCACCTGGAGGTGGCAACTCAAGAGTACAAGAGAGCATATGCAACGAACTGTCCCGGACACCACAGCAACAAAGTGAGCGATTAGGAAGAAGAGGACAATGCACCACCATAGACCGTAGATGATTGGCAGCTTTTTCAAGTTTTTTGTTGTTCTGCAAAAACTCTTTTATGCTCCTCAGGTGCATCTGAATTTCACTTCCCATCTGCTCTACTCGTACACTATAGACTTGCACTTTGGAACTTGGAAAGTTGGAACCGCTTTTCATTACAGAGAGAAGTTTGACAGGGCTACGAGAAGTCTGAATCAATGTTTTAAGTTTCAAACCATCAGTAGGCTGAGCCCCTGTTAACGCGGCGGGTTAACCGCCATGTCAGAACAAATTGCTGGGAAAGGGACTGGTGGCTTAAAGAACAGGGCATCAGAAAGCAACTACAGGGGCCCACCACCCCCCCCCCCCCAAAAAAAAAAAAAAAAAAAAAAAAAATCCCAGTACTTGCATCATGCAGAGTTGCGAACCTCTTTTTCACCGCTACCGCTGCATGACATCCAAGTTACAAAAAAAATGCAGTGAATTTGTGTGACATCAAAATGCCAGACCTATGGGATGGAAGAAACACGTTCCGGATAGATGGTCTGGCTACATTCGCTGTTATTCTGTGCCATCTCAGCACGAACCCTGACTGCTTCGTCAACCACCAGTGCCGCTTAGCAAATCCGTGCTAAGCTGGCACAGGATGACAGCAAATCTAGCTCGACCATACATTTGGTCGTTAAAAAACTTGCAGAAATTGATTAGGGCCTTGATCGTTATTCTATCGCCTGGTCTTACCAAAGGGAAGCACCTGCTGATAAGGACGTGGAGTTTGGATGCCGTCTCTGACAGCCACTGCTCGTTACGATCCACTCGTAGAACCAGCTTCCGAAAGTTGCCATCAAATACAGGCATCTCTTTCGCAACTTCTTCACCCTTCCTCTTCACCTCACTGCTACTGCTACTTTCCTTGCCACCACCACCATCTCTCTCTCCATCAGCCGCCGCCTCCTTGGATCCAAACTGCATCTTCAGCTCCCTCAATGCCTGCAATGCAGAATCGACAGTATCCACAGTACCTTCCTCTGCTGTTTTGTCAGCCTGCTGACTTCCCGATGCAGTCCTTACACTCTTTGCCGGCATAAGTGCACCAGTATTTCGAGTGTCACCAAGAATGAGGACAAGAAGGTCTCCCAGCAGGGATACAGCCTCCCTTACAGCAGCAGAGGACCAGGCTGCCCCAACCTTCTTCGTCTGAGCCGAGGCCACAGCAACGAGGCGCCCATCTTTACCCTGAATGTGTGACAGAGACGCCCTCGCAAGCCTAACAGACATAGCTGGAAGAAAATACGCCAACGCGTCTCCATCATCCAACTGCAAAATCTCACACAGCACATTTTCCAATAACACCCTCAGCTCACTCCGATGACGATGATGAAGTTGTGAACCCTTCGTTCTTCTTTCTTCTTTCCTCTTTCCTTTTTCCCTTGGCTGTTTCTTTTTTGGAGAAAGTAAACACAGTCTTGCAAAATTCTGACTCACCACATACCGTACGGCATACTGCACCCCAATCGACATAACCGGTAGCAAGGTTTATTTGCAGCACACAATAGCACACATTAATTATCATGAACAACATTTGGCGGACTTGAAGTCTGTATTTGTCTGTCCACGTTCATATCATTTTGCACGCAACTGTCTCCCAACCACTCTCATCAGATCAATCCTCGGGACAGCAACAAGACTAGTTCTGCCATATAGTGCATGTTGTATGTTATATGATGTATGTTGTCCTGCTTGCATATTTCCCAACAAGTTTAGTATTGGCATACATGCCAGTAGAACAACATACGACATGCACTAAATATTACGAGCAAGGACAAATATCAGCAGCACACACATGAGAGGCAGGGCGGGGAAAGAGAGAGGGGGGGGGGCGAACTCAGAAGAAGGCTTGCCATGGTCCATGCAAACATCTATCATTATCATCAGTCAACCTCTACACCTCCAGTTCCTGACGATCAAAAAGAGTGAAATTAAAGTGTATTGATTCTCCTCTTTTTCTTTTCTTTTTGTGATTTCCCTCTTGTTAGATTGGACCATTTCTCAATGTGTGTCATCCTTGTGCAGGGGCCATGCTCATCTTCTCCATATCGTTACGATCGGTCCAATCCTAACGGCTGTCCCAAGGGCCATATTGTGTTGCTCCTCTTGTCTACCTCATTACGGCAATCCCTTTGATTCAAACCCCTCCGGGGAGGGCAACGAGCCCTTGATTCAAACCCCTCTTGGGAGGGCAACAAGTGATTGAAACCACCCCCTCCTAGGAGAGCTCAAACCCTTTTCTCACCCATCTGGAGACAGGGTATATCCCACAAAGACGGATCTCACAGCCTGCCAGAGATACAGTACCTGCCACATGGAAGAATGATACACATAGGAATGGTCAGCCACAGATTATAGAGTTGAAGGAACTTGAAGCCTGTCCAGTAAACCTGATTGGACGGGACCGGACGGAACGGATTGGATCAGATCGGATTGGGTTGGGATCGGGACGCATTGGAACACATGCGATGTGATGAAATGGGATGGGATTGGATCGGATCAGATTGGAACAGATCTGGTATAGAAATTACTAAATCAGTCCAACTGTACAATCTTCACAGTCTTAGAGCCTACAACTAATACAGCCCTTTTTTTCTTCTTTTTCCTTTTTTGAAAGACAAGAAGCCTAAGAGGATGAAGCAAACAGTTGTTGTTTGTGAAACCTGTTATCAGCTACTGAATCGACTAATCATTATTTCAAATTGCTTGCTTCTATGAAACCTCGCCTCCTGGTCTTCGTTTTTCTTTAAGGGGGCACTCCCTAACATTACTGTGTCAACCTGATCCTAACGTTACTCTATAAATCCGATCCCATCAGGATTCGAACTCATGAATGATTGTCTCTGATCCTGCATCAAAGCCGGGATCAGAGAGAAGTAAAACACACAAACATATGCACACACACGGCATTACATCAATCACACTCGCCGATCATGAGGATGGCACCAAACTTCATGGACAAAAAATCTCAGTGACAGCAAACGGCGGCAGTGTAGTGTGGCGATGGATTTCACCAAACGACGATCAATGGACCCGCAGAGAGCACAGAACAGGTCAATCAGGAGCTAAGGCAGACATGACACTATACCTTGAGGACAAGACATCTCAGAGTTCCTAGGGCATCCGTCCGCAGAGATTTGCTTCCAGCACTCCCAGCCGCAACCTCTGCCTCATCAATCTGTGCAGAAACAACGAACCACCACAGGCATCCAGATCAATGACTTCAACAAGACAATAACCTTCAGCAACATACATACTACATAGTACATAATAATTACCGATGATAAGAATATGCAGGTGGGAACAGTGGGATAAGAATGTAATCAATGTACACATCAAATGCACATTATCTTATCCATGCCAGTGGTGCGGTCGCTTGCTTGCCTCTTCATCACTGAATTCCTTTCAATCCATCGTCAGCTCAGAGAATTCACACTACAACATGATGATAATGATGATGATGACGATGATGATGATGATGATGATGATGATGATGATGATGATGTAATCATCATCACATCATCATCATCATCATCATCATCATCATCATCATCATCATCATCACCCTGACTGAGGTATATGCCAAACTTCGCACCAGACAGCCTCCTTATGCAACTCAGCTAGAATTTCAGAGTTACAATACACCCCCTTAAACAGCAGATAATCTAGCAGGGCCTTGATACATAACATTCAATCACCACCTGATGAACAACCATGCGTGTCGCCACAGAAGACGGCACAAGAAAAAAAAAAAAAAAAAAGGGAAAAAAAACTTGGATGGCCCCGTGACTACACTGGGATGGCCCCTTGACTAACATTTGGATTTTGAACTCCTGTACGGCTCCGTCCATAATACTCCATATCAATGGGCTACTATCAGAAAGCTACCAGATTTCTAGGTCTGTGCGACAAGGGGACCCACTAGCCCCACCCATCTTCCTCTTTGTTATGGAAGCCATAGCTTCTTGTTATGTGCCTGATTGAAACGGAATCCAACATTGTGATGATCCGTCCAAACACGGACTGAAACACACAGCTGATTTCTGAGTTTTGCCCATAGTCTGTCAGTCTGTACTTTATCAGCCACAGGACCTCCTCCGCGCAAAGCACGGATTCAAACCGGCGCCCTCCGCCTCAAGAGTCGAGTCTCTTAACCACTACAGCCATGGCACGGTGTTCAAAAGTGGATCCATGCCGATCGTGATATCCACCCCACCCCTGCATGGCTGTAGTGTCCTTCAACTCACACACACACACACACACACACACACACACACAACACCACACAAGGCATCCACCACACAGGCAGTAGTCGCACACTCCGCTCTCATCTAGCACAACTGCTTATCCAACGGTTTTATCCACGGGCCACCACATCCAGGTATAATTTCCGGGCTGGTTACCCGGTTGAAGTCCAGTCCAGTCTGTACTTTATCAGCCACAGGACCTCCTCTGTGCAAAGCACGGATTCGAACCGGCGCCCTCAGCCTCAAGAGCCAAGTCTCTTAACCACTACAGCCATCACACGGTGTTCAAAAGTGGATCCATGCCGATCGTGATATCCACCCCACCCCTGCATACTGACTGCCCTGCTGAGTTTCCCGCTTGCTACTAAGTCTGTGTGTGCACGCTTGCTGGACTGCATGTCTGTCTGAGTGCTGGTTGGCTTGAGGGTGTGAGTGGCCGTGCCTGTCTGAGTGCTGATTGGCTTGTGTGTGTGTGTGGCCGTGCCTGTCTGAGTGCTGGTTGGCTTGAATGTGTGTGTGGCCCGCAAGGGCACTTGCTCGTTCATTGGGCCCTCAGGGCCGGTACTTACCTGTGGCCGTGACATTGAGGGATGGCAGCAGGAAAAACACTCATGTAGCGGGTAGGCCGGTACCGCACCCTGAAGGGGTAGATGTGCGGGTACTGGAGACCGAGCAGAAGAAGACAAAAGTGGCATTTTTAGAGGCCCAGTAGTTGTAGGTTAGGTTTAGGCGGATACCAGTCCAACCAGTCTGGGTCTAGGGCCTGTACGAGCAATATCAGAGTCTGCAATGATGTTTCCCTCCGAAAGGGAGGAGGTGCCGGTTGCTTGGAAGGCCGAGCGGCCTGGAAGTCACCGCCCGAAGAGGCAAGCAGGCCGCTATATCTCCCAGCCTGGCGAAGAGCCCGGTCTCTTTCTCGGTGTGCAAGTTTGGCGACACACTGGTTGGAGCACCGGTTGGAGCAGAGCTATCCAAGAGCAGCGCTGCTGGGGGAAGGAGAAGGACACGGAGGAGGAAGAAGGACAGGAAGGGGGAGGAGCGCCAGGAGTACTTACCTGGCTATGGTGGCAGCCATCTTCATCACCTTGGTGGGCGCTGCAGCAGGGAGTCCCCAACTGGGGAGCGCTACACCAAGAAGCTTCGAGGCAGGGTCGGGCATGGCAGCCTGAGCTAGAGCAGCCATAGCTGCTTTGGGTTGTCCTTTGGGCATCTGGGCAAGGCCTAGTAGTCCGCCATAGCCCCGGCCTATGAGAGTGAAGAGTGGGAGAGGTGGCCATGGCTATGGTGGACCTCAAGTGATACCTGCAGTAGAAGAGGAACTCGGACATTGATTCTGGATCAGCCATTCAACATTGTATTATTATTTCTTGTATGAATAAGAGAAGGGGGAGATAAGGACGAGGAGATTGTTGGGCGAAGAAGAAGGGCCTTGTCATTTGTCTGTGCTGGTGTACATCATCTTCTTCTTCTTTCTTACTTCTTCTTCTTCTTCTTCTAATACTCTCTCTCCTCTCAAGTTCATTCATTTCTTTCTGCAATTGGACGACATTGTACTATCTGATGGATTTGTATCTCGAAATTGGTCAGGATCATAACAACATGGCATCCACACGTTCCCATACACGTGCGCAATGACAAGTGGACTTGGAGAGAGCAATCCACACCAAACCAGATGAGGAAAATACAAAGCAGAAGCACACAAATACCCAAAATAGAATTGAATTGAAATTTGAAAATCAATTACAAGTACAGTCTGTCCCCAGTTCAATCAGCAACACCAATTTTCCCAAGAATCCCAACCACGTTATCAACACCCACGGACCAATTATTTACAAAGTTTCACCGAAGTATCCGGGAGTCTTCTTCTTCTTCCACCCACTATCCCCAAGCTCGAGCTATGGCGTCACTTCCACTTTCAGTGCCCAACCAGACAAGCCTGCAAATGACATACACCCTCCTGGATACGTCACTCTGCACCACTCGTGAGGCCCAGCTGTGGATGATGTGTCCACTCAGCAGGGGAGCGCAGCTCCCAGGATGAAGAAGAACAGCAACTCAATGAAGATTAAGGCCTGCCACATCGAAGAAGACATCAAAGAGCTGCTTCGTGGAAGCTGCCCAAACCCCAACAACACACAAATAGGAGGAAGCGCTCATCAGTACTTGGGCGCCTAGCCCAGTGTTGCCATCAGCAAAGCTGCTCGGCCCCAGCTATGGCCGCCAGCAGTGTGTGAAGATGATGCTGCCGCGCTACTGAAAATAGCGCTCCAGCTCCGACGCAACCTCACACCCAGCTCGTGAAAAGAAGAATGAGCAAAATGAAGCCCCACGTGCCTCGCCAGCCTCCTATTTCTAGACATGGCCTCTACTTTGACCTAAGACAGACAGAACACTAAGACCTATGGGCCTACACAAAAGCAGCAGAAAAAGACGAAAGGAAACGGCCTAGTGGTCTAAGGCTGCCCAGAAGAGAGACCCCAGCAAGTGACAAGTACAAGGGTCAAGCCCCGCAAGACCTCAAGACATCGAAAAACTAAAAAACTAAACTACTTAGAAGGAAGCCCCAGTAAGGAACAGGTCAAGGGATCAAGCCCAGTAGCACCCAAAATATTACAAAACTAATATACTCAGTTATACAGCCCGCTGGGAATCTGCAGTTTATTGCATTCTTTCCTGCGCAAAGACCCTTATACTCAAAGACTGCCAGAAATGAACGTAGGCTCTCCTCATCACATTCATTTGCCACAGTAATTATGTTTGCTGATGACCTTACGGTGTTAATACGAGCTTTCAATTCTTCCATGGCAGTACTAGTCAGAGCAATGGAAGCATTCAGGCTAGCATTGGAGATGAAGATAAACTTGGGGAAGACAATAGGATGGTGGCTATCGGAAGAACCTGTCCCCCAGCTCCAAGGCCCTGAAGCTGAAATGACATGGGAAAGGCCAGAGTCCCCCACGAGGTACCTGGGAATTCAAACCAGCCAATTAAGAAAATGGGAAAAATTCAAATGGAGCCAGACCTTCACATCCCTACTAAGCCGAGCGCTAACCATCAACACTTCCACATTCTCCATGACGTGGTAGATCACGTCGATCTGGACCATATCTGACCAGACAATCAAAGAGCTGAAGCGGAAAATGAGAGCATATTTATTGTCGAGAGACCCCAACAAAGAGAATTATATACCAAAGGTGGCATGACACTATATCACGAGGAGACCGGCGCAAAGAGGTTTGGAGATAATAGACCCCAGACAAGGAACACAAGCTCTCCAAACCAAATGGATAATCAAACTGCTGACTAAACAATCGCTAGCCTGGAACAAGCTGGCTCTTGACGGCATTAGAAGCCTGGCGCCAACAGCATGCCCCCCCAATATGTCAGGTCTATTCTGGGTGATGAACAAAGACTCGAGCCCGAAAACAGGAAGGAGGAGGCGAGTGAGAGGAGAAGCCCCACGACAGGAGCGAGGATCCTTGCACTACTGGACAGCCTTGCTACTAATCTGGAGAGAAATCATGCCAAGAAAGCTAAACAGTCAAAAGAAGAAGTGCTCAGACAACCACTCTTTGGAAACCCATGGGTCAGAGACGAAGGGAACCATACGCGCAACAGGTGGCTAACATGGATAAAAAATGGGATCTAGAGAGTGAGAGATGTGTGGAACGGCGAAAGGAACGACTGGCGGGACGAGGATGACCTTAAAACCCGGCTGAAGGCTGTCACCACAGAGATGAAAACTTGTAGAAGATCATAGAAAGCATTCCAGGCAGATGGAAAGAATTGCTCAAAGAGGAATTCACCTGGAAATCAGGGGAATGGGGAATCCTGATCCAGGACAACACTCCGACGAGGGCGTACCAATTTTCCCATCGACAAGCAAGACAAGGGTCAACGGCTATCTTCACATCCTTTCCTATCCGATGCA